TAGTTTTTGGAAAGAATGGGAGCAGGAATAGAACTAGAGGAAGTAATAGCATAAGGTTAAGAATTATTATTACAGACTGAAGTGTAGGTTGATTGGAATAACTTAGCAAAAAGGTTAGCAGAATAACAGAAGGTGGCAATCTTGAAGATTTACGCTTCAAGTTTACGAAATTGTATTACTCTCTCGGATTTTGGGCAAATTGCCTTTTGCAACGAGAAAGATAATTCACAAAGCACTGAGAATTAAGAAAATAGAAATTCCGCATGGTTATGGAATATTTTGCCAAGTCACTACTCGAACCAGATCAATTAAACTTTTGAAAATATTTATATTTTATATTTTTTAGGTTTGATAGTCTGGGAGTAAACCATGGTGGATTTGAAGAAGCAGTCGCAGGAATTGAATTGGAAATATAAATATCTAAGAGGGAGCTCAGGGTGTTATAAAAAATATAAAAGCAGTATTCATATCAACCGAGTCATATAAAAAGTCCAATCGGTTGCATGAATACGTTGATTAAGCAAGGAATAGATTCCTTTGCGAAAGCAACGGCGGTGCTTATAGGTAGCATTGCAACCTCTAAAGTAGGATGATATACATCCTCAGGAAGAAATAAAGGAGGGGACCTGGACACATTGCCAGTAAGGTAGTCGTTAACAAATACAAGATCAAGTGCTCTACTCAAATGATAAGGAATTGTATTGATTTGAAACAACGAAAGGTCAAGCGTGCAATCTATAAAGTCATGCTGAGCTAAGGGTACTAGATAATTTTCGGCAGTGAATAGTGACCAAGATATATTCGGCAAATGAAAATCACCTAACACTATAAACAGGTCATTATCACGCACTTCTGAGGAAACTTCATTAATAAAACTAATATGTTTCATACAAGCTTGAATATCAGAAGAAGGAGGAACATAGGAGCATGTAATATAAATATCTCGTGATGGAAAAGACACCATAACTCAGTGTCAATAAGCGTAGTAAAACAGAATGGTTCTGACTGGAAAGTGGCTTTATCGGCAATTAATACCCCACCACTTCGAGTCAGCCGATCATTTCTATGCAAAATAAAATTGTTTGAAAAAACTTCAAAATCAGATATGGTTGAAATTAACCATGTTTCTGACATTCTTATAATGAATAGAGACTTGGTTAGAGGACGAAGTTAGTTTTTTGGGGTAGTAGCAGTAACTTGTGTTGAAGGGACTGGACGGGTGACAGGGAAAAGCTAGTTACGCTTTTTTGGCTTGAACTTGTGCACAATCATGTGTGGAGGCCAACATTTAGGATCACAAATGATTGGGAGCATATCATGTGAAACATTAATTTTGAAAGATGCTATTTCACGAGGAGAGGTGAAATTAAATTTTGTTATTGGCAAGCTAGCAGAAGATTTGCTAGCAATATAGGCTGCCAATGACTCACAAGTGGTGTCAGACGAGAGTCGAGACACAAAAACTTGCCTACGAGGGGCAACAATACTTAAAGTAGGAGCTGATGGGGCTACAGGTAATACAAGAGTTGGTGGGACAAAAGAGGCATCGTGATTGCTTTTACCAATCTGGGGTAGGTTTACCTTTGCGGCCCCTGCTGACGGGGCTGAAGCAGTTTCGCTGACTGCGGCAGGTTCCACTACAGGGTCTACTGGGACTACTCCATGAGATACAACAGCGGGTAATATTTGGACAATCGCTCAGAGAAAGCGACAATGACAATATTAGGGATAAATCCAAGTTGCTAAGCACAACAAAAGAGGCGTAGGAGTTTGGATAGTCGGAGAGTGTAAATGCACATATTGTGGCTCCAACCGGCGATTGGGTGGACACCCGAATTTGTATTTGCTAACCAACTCACAACTCGAGTCAAAACTACTGGAGAGCAGCTTAGCCACGTTATTAAGTTTTAAGAATTGATTTCTCACAGAATTATACATTCTGGAGAAATCAATTTGCCGCTGCAGCCCTTCTTGGCAATTGCAGCGATCTTGTCGCAATCACGCCCAGTGAGACCTGCACATATAGCACGCAGAGCGGAGCGCCAAAACGAAAGAATCAAAACAGACTATAACATCAACACGGAACTGACGCCGCGTTCAATTAATGCAATAATTAACAGGCTTACGCTGCACAGCAGATAGCACTTTGCACAACTAATTATAGCTTTTTAAATATAGCACTAAAAATGCAAAATTTAGGATCAAAAAGCAGGATTCAAGTGCAAAAATATATAGAAATCTTGGAGCACAAGTAAAACACGTCAATCACTCCCAACTGAGAACTCTCTTAATTGTCCTTTGTATGTGGGAGAGCCGGATGCACTGCAAAAGTTAAATCTGACAGCGTTTTATACCCCGAACCCATTTAAAATGAGTTAAAAGGCTATACTGTATTTTTTCAAACAGGCAGAAAGAAGCACCCCATAAAGTATAAATATTTTTGATCAGCATCGCTAGCCGAGTCGATTTAGACATGTCCGTCCGTCTGTCCGTCCGTATGAACGCACGTATCTCAGAACCTATGTGCTATTGTGAAATTTTGAACATTGCCGGCGCAGTATGAGTCTGTTTCCGATAATCGATTGCTTTCCCCATTTCCAAATCGATGTCGAAATACTGTTTTTTGATCAAGTCTCTTAGGTTCTAAAAGCTAGAGTCTTCAAATTTGACATGTAGCTTCTTGAATAGTATATATTTATATCTAATATTTTTAATTTTAAAGCTATCGCCAGGCGGAAGCCTATACACCTTTGAATTAAATACTCACCAATTAGGCCACAATTTTAATGCAATTGATTTTTTGAGAATATAGAAATATTCTATAGCATAAAGGATTTTCTCTTGACAAACACATGAAGATCAGTTAAGAAGCACATAAGTACTCTTATATACACACACATTCATATACATTCTATTAACAGTATTTTGTTATTTTAATTCGTTTTCTATCTATTGGAAAGTGAATTGCTGATATGGCTGTCGAGTAAGGGCGGTTGTGTTTAGTGCGGCTAGGCGAATCGATAGCTAAACTATCGTCATGAAAGTTTGCATACGTCCTTCTTTCTGTTGCCCGTGGTATATGGTATATAACCAGCTGGATCGGACAATTATATCATATAGTATATATCTTAACCATACTCGGCATTGACTATTTTCCCTGAGCTTCTAAGATACGAACAAAACATTATGAGCAGAATGAAAAAGTTCGGTCTGCAAGGCTATTAAATCTTCGGCTTTCCGAAGATAGCCTGCTAAAGCAAACGAGCTCGTAGCTTGAGCTGCATTTGGAGTTTGCAGAAGAGGGTTCAGCTTATCCCTTTGTCAGGAACTCCCGACTAGAATCTCTTGCTTGTTTTCTGTAGGTTTCTGGCTTCTACATGTTGGTTCATTTCTATGCAAGCTCTCGTAGCGATCGGACGTTTAATCTGCTCCCGTGTGTGCCTGTGTTAGTGCACCGATTAAAACTGTACATTTATCTGAAGTGATAGTGTCACTTACCCCGCCCGCGCCCAGGCACTATAAATAAATCCCGCACATAGTGGGTCTTCACACTACGAATGCTGGCACTGGCAGCCAAAGGGCAGTGTTATAATCAAGTTATCAAAGAAACCGCTTTTCTCCATGTACATGTGATCTTTAAAGCTTAAAAATACTAATACAAACATAGCAGTGACCAATAAGAAGCTTGCCAGTGCTGGCGTAATGGGCAAAATCAGTGACAGTGCTGAGCGTGACTTGATCACGACAAATCACATTTTCGGAATAGTCATTTTCTAAAAAATACAGGCTGAAGTAAAGTCTAGTTTCCTTATATTACTTAGTACTTTTTATAGTTTTTTTTCTTGTTGTTTCCCAGATGCCTACGAGATCAAGGTCTCTCCCTCAAGAGCCCTGAGGATCTACGTAAAAGATTCAGACAATCACATAGCCATGCGTGGAAGCTGCAAAGCTGACAGCAGAGGCAAAGCGCTGCGTGAAGCGATCACCAGCTGCTTAGCCCAGGTCCTGGCCACCGGGAGACCCTCCCACTTATACAACGGGCAAAGCACCCCTTCATGTATAGAGTTCTTTATATACAAAGGTATCCCCAACAGCGTATTATCGGTTCGTGAAGAGTATGAGCTCTCATCTGACAATCTGCCACTCCTTGCAACGGTCTCTACGCCTGTTCAAAGGACCCCAAGAAAGCGCAGGCTTGTCTCCCTCCAGTTGGACATACAACGTTTTCGATCTAAGCACTAAGCACTCAGATCTTGACAGCCGAGGAGGCTGACGTTGCAGGTCAAACCCTGTTTGACTAAGTTCATGCCGCGGCTGCTAACGCTGCACCAGCACAAATGTACCTTTCGCTTACAAGCCAAAACACCAGGACGTTGAAGGCCTTCTTTCCCTGAAAAAGCGACTGAGGATCGCTATCAATTCAGGAAGGAGTTGACTAAAAGCCACAGACACCATGCTGGAGAAAACAACGGCAGGCGAGAGCACCAATTTTGCGCTGTGGAAATTAAACGGCAAGCTGCGCCAAAGTTCTCAGTCGGACATCCCGATGACACATGTGCCAGATCGCCAATGGACAGAGCCGAAGCCTAGAGGAGCATTTCAAGCCGTTTGAGACCACATCGAATTGCAGGATACAGCGAGTCTCGCAAAGTCTTAAGGCGCCACTCCAAATGTCCCTCCTTGTACCACCTTCTATAAAATGATGCAGGAGATGAGGAGAGTAAGGACGTAAAGCCCCTTGGGAAGATCGATTAGACAACCAGACAATCAAGCTAATGCAGCCCTTCGGTTAGGTCACCAGTGGCCTGGAAGAAAAAATTATAAATAACTGTTGGCGCCACGGTATACGACGAAGAAGTACTCGGCCTTTGCTTGAATTAACTGAATAATTTATATCTCATTTTTGAGAAAAAATACTGAGTCGGACAAAGCTAGATATAGATTATCCTCTAGTTTTACTGAGAATTTTTTACTTTGAAATAATAATCAAAGAACTCAAACATATTCATTTATTATATCAAAAATTTATTTAGAACGGAAAATGTATCATTTTTTATTTAAATTGCTGGTTGTTTGTATTGTAATTATCCTGCGGCCAACCTATTCTATGGTTAACAATTATGTTAACTCTTTTCGAACGAGCAATTTAAATACTGTTCTACTTCACTGCGCAAATGGTGATAAAGAATGGCCTTGCGAACCTCAATTACTTATAACTATTAACTTTATACCCAATTTAAATGTGGAAGCTCACGACAACCTTCTTATACTGGATGATGCTTACGAGCCTACTAAACGTCAAAATTTAAAAATAATGTCTCCGTACATAATTATAGTTAGCAGAAGCGAGCCAATAATTATGCACCCACTACTGAAACCAAAAGTAAGTTGACTGTTAATTTTATTTATATATGTACACAATTGTAAGTAATACTACCTTACAAAATGCTTACAGTGGACGAGTTTTAATAATTATAGTGGTGAGTATTTTTTTTTTTACCTTTATATCAATAGTTAATAATACTGTCAATAAGTTGCCAAATAAATTTATTGGTTTATATGAAACGTTTTGAAAAGTAGTTTTGAAAATCCAGAATCTTTACGTTCAACCCATTTAAAATGAGTAAAATTGATAAATTAAGTCATATCTGACTATGGTCAACAAAAACGAGTGTCTTTCTCATTATTCAATATATAAAATTATTGATGGCTCTGGTGACCTTTCCATATTTAAAATATTTGTTGGCTAGCTCGAGGTCCGTGTTTGTAAAGACAAACAATGAAAACAATTTTATTTATTTATTTTGCTTCCGATATACATATTTCGGTTGCACATCGGCAAACCATCTTCAGGGCACTAACACCAAGATACAAAAAACAATTAACAATTAGAATACAATAAATTAAACATTATTTCGAACATTTTACATACATTATTTTACACGTCCGCGCTGGAGATTGATACTGAGGCTGTTTTGAGAGGTGCCTGTACAAGTGCGCGCAATTTCCGTGTCTATCTTGTAGTTTAGTCGTTTGTTGGTTGGTGTGTTAATTATATGTAGCATTTCCAATGTGTGTCGCTTGTTATAGTGTTGTTCTTGTTGTAAGATTGTTGTTTCATCAAAATTTGGTGTGTGGTTGCTTTTTATACAATGGGTCATAAGTGCTGTTTTCTGTATATTATTTTGATGTCTTAGTTTGAAGTCCGATTTATGTTGACTAATCCTTGTTTTTAGCTTCGATTTTGTTGTACCTATGTAGACACTATTGCACTTGTTGTTGTTTTCCCCGCCACATGGTATTTGGTAAACGACGTTGCTTTTGTCGATCATCGGGATTTTCGACTTTATCTTGTTGAAGAATTTTTGTAATGTATTCGTCGGTTTGTGTGCTACTTTTATATCTTGTTTGTTATAACAAGCTGAGTTTGTGAGGCGTTCTGATAGTCGTGGTACATATATTAGAGATTTATATATTTTAGCAGGTTTTGTTGGCTTTTTTCTTTCAGTTTGTCGTCTTTTTAATAATGTTTTGATTATATTTGGGGGGATGTCATTTTTGGTCAAGAGTTTTTTGATTTCATGTTCAATTTCTTTGTGGTATATTGTGTCCGATATGTTAATCATTCTATTCATACAGCCTAGTGCTGTATTGATTATCATACTCTTTGGGTGGTTTGAATTGAAGTTGAGTATTCGTCCGGAGGCTATGGGTTTCCTATACCACTTTATTTTGAGTGTGTTGTCCATTCTGCTTACAATAGAGTCTAAAAATGGTAATTTCCCGTCCTTTTCTAATTCCATGGTAAATTTGATCTGCTTGTGGAAGGAATTCAAATCTTTTAGAATTTTCTCCACTTCTATTTTGTTAGTTATGGCAAAAAGGTCATCTACATATTTGGTCAAGAGTCTTGGTTTTATTTTTAATTTTTCTGTAATCTTGTCTAACAGTTCCTCCATTACTATATCTGCGATTACTGGGGAGGCCGGTGATCCCATTGGCATTCCTTTTAGTTGTGTGTATATTTTGTCTTCGTATTTAAAATATCTGTTTTCTTGAATGCAGAACCCAACTATGTCCATAAATAGTTGTTTTGGTATACTCGTGTGCTCTTCTAATTTGGTCGATTTTTGTCTTATTGTGTCAAGTGCTAATTCTATTGGTATGCTGGGAAATAAGGATACTACGTTAAATGATACTAATGTTTCTTCTTCTCTAATATGGAAATTGTTAACTCTGTCTTTAAAATCTACCGCGTTCTTGATGTTGTACCTAGAGTCCATTGTCAGATTTTTTAATATTTGTATTATGTATTTGCACAGCCCGTAAGATTGAGATCCGATGGAGGAACATATTGGTCTAAGTGTTGTTCCTTCCTTGTGTATTTTTGGTAGTCCATATATCCTCGGAGGTACCGCTGTTGTTGTAGTCATCTTATTTCTTTCGTCCTTTGAAATAAGACCCATCCTGAATAATTGTGCCACGAAGTTGTTATTCTTTGTCTGTAGTCTTGATGTCGGATCGTGTCTCAGTGTTCTATACGCGCATAAGTCGTCTAAAATATTTGTTTTATTTTTATAATCATCCACATCCATTGCTACGGTTTTGTTACCCTTATCCGACGATAGAATTTTAATATTTATATTTTCTTTCAATAATTTTCGTGTCTGTTCCTTTAACCTATAAGAGCTAGAGACTTAAAATTTTAGCTGTAGGTCCTCCTAGTGCCCGCACAGATCGAGTTTGTTTCCGATATTCGATAACTAGCCCAATTTCCAAGTAATCTACGAAAATCGATATCGAAATTGTGTTCTTTGAGCAATCTCGGAAAATAATATGAGGTAAAGTCACCAAGCTAGACATGTAGCTTCTAGAATAGTATATATATATCAAGTATCTTTCCTTGTTTAGCTATCACATAAATCATGATAAATCCTACCCGCTACTACCTCATAGCTATAAATCAAGTAAAAACACCAATTTATGCCGCCCACCGATATAAGCCACAATATAAATGGAATTGACTTTTTGATAATACACGAATATTCTCTAGTACAATAAGATGTACTGTAGAAACTTTCATCAAGATCGGCTATTAAAGAAAACGTGTTTTACCTTGCATCGTATCAGAGGCAGCAAGCACACATTCCAAGTATTTCTGTATACATTTACACACACACACATTCATGCCCGTCTGCTTTGAATTCTATCAACAGCATTGCAATTGCGATTGTATTGTTTTCTGTGCTGCTATTCTAATTCGTTTTTTTCTCACGAAGACATAATTATTGGCGTGGTGGTTGAGTAGGGTCGGCGGAAAGTAATGCGGTCTGTTGCAAGTTTGAAGCCAACTCAGGAAACTATTTTTTTTTTATTTATCGGGAGCTCCCAACTAGAAACTCTTACTTGTTTATAAATAAAAGTGACCGTCCTCCACAGTAGTTTGCGTTGTCTTTCGTAGGTTGATTTGTCTTCTGCTGTTGCTGTTGGTTTTGTTTTAGGTATTTTTATTTTTTTTGTTGATCGCGAATTTACTGTTCACGTGCGCCTTACTCCTTCTAGGTGTCGTCGTCGCCGAAGATTAAGTTCTCCATTGTTATTCCAATTGCAGGATCACTGAAGATTAGGTTGTTCAGTTTGTCTTATTGCTGGATATCTGGAGATTAGGATGGTGGCTTGAAGATCGCCAATCAGTGGCCTTGTGGTGTAGCAATTAAAGAATATGATATAATCTTTTGTGATAAATCGGTGTGGTATTTTCTTAACATGGTTTTGCACAAGTTGCGCCTGGTAAAAAAATTAATTTTTTCTTAATTTTTCCTTCAAAATGTATAGTGAGTATCTAGGGTAATGTATCATTTAAATGAAGCATGCATTTCATGGATAAAGCAATGTACTTCGAAAACGAAGCGACGCAAAGTACCATCGACCAGCTTTGCTGAAGGCAGGCTGGCGACTAACTTCGTTGCTCGGGTCAGCATCAGCAACCGCGACTTCGGCATTCGTTCGTCTGGCTTTTGGAGAACGAATATCCAGTCGGCAGGCATGTCATGTGAAAACTCAAACGCCAGATGAAACGCCAGGCATGAAATTTGTCGTCGCATGCAAATGTATGGGCGTTACTCATTTTAGTGCTTATATTGTCTTTGGTTGAGGGTATCCCCTAGTCGGGAGCTCCCTACTAGAACCTCTTACTTGTTGCAGATGATTTTATCAGTGTTAGTAGAGAAAATAGTGTTCAAAGGTAATAATTCAATGATAGGGCGAACAAGAGAGATCTACCAACAAGAACAAGAGAGATCTACATACTAAGTCAGTGTAAATGACATCAGTTTGCATTTTAGAAAGGAAATCATCATTATCCAAGGAAGTAAATTCTAGCAGATTGGTCGTAGTTGATCGATTCTTTACGAATCCATGTTGGACAGGGGAGACAACTGATTTGCAGAAATGCTGAAAATTTGAAGTGATTATTTTTAGGGATAGCCGACAGTTTTGCAATGCCCCTGTAATTTTGTATATCAGACTTTCCACCTTTCTTGTGGAGAGGAATGATATAAGATTCTTTCCAAAGAGATGGAAAGACAGAAGATTCAAGGTTAGCAATGGACGAAGAAGGGAAGAACTTCACTCCTTGAGTATACAACTAGGAATATTGTCAGGCGCAGGAGAGTAAGAAAATTGTAAAGAATTTATAACAGAAAGGAGAGAGGAATGGGAAATAATATGAGCAGGTATAGAACCGAATGAAGTAATATTTTAAAAGTAAGAAATATTATTAAGACAGACGGAAGAGTAAGTTGATTGGAAAAAGTTAGCAAAGGGGTTAGCAGAATCGGAATCATTGCTAACTTTATCTGTCCCGACAGAAAAAGAAGATTGCAAACTAGAAGATTTACGCTTTAAGTTTACAAAATTATAAAACTGTCTCGGATTTTGGGCAAATTGCCTTTTGCAACCAGAAAGACAATTCTCATAACACTGAGAACTCAGAAGAAAGAAGTTCGACTTGGCTATGGAATATTTAGCCAAGTCAATACTCGAAACAGACTTATTAAACTTTTTAAAATATTTAGATTCTATATTTTTTAGGTTGGATAGTCGGGGAGTGAACCAGGGTGGCTTTGAAGAAGCGATTGAGAGAATTGAATTAGGAATACAAGCATCTAAGATGGAGTTCAGGGATTATAAAAAAAAAAAACAAATACGAGGTTCTAGTCGGGAGCTCCCGACAAGGGGGTACTCTGAACCCTCTTATTCCAACCCCAAATGCAGCTCGCAATACGCGCTCGTATGCTTTAGTAATAATAAAGATAAATTAAAAAAGTTTCCTTGCCAGGTTTCGAACACGCAACTTATCGTATTACTTTCTGCCGCCTTTACTCAACAGCCACACCAGCAAAAAAAAAGTCTCCTTGATAAGGTTCGAACTCGTAACAGACCGCACTACTTGCCGCCACCTCCGCTCAACAGCCACATGAATAATTGAGTTTCGATCAGAATAAAACGAATTAAAATAGCAGCACAGAAAACAATAAAATCGCAAGTGCAATGCTGTTGATAGAATTCAAAAAGACGCGCGTAAATGTGTGTGTGTGTGTACATGTATACAGAAATTTTTGGAATTTGCGCTTGTTGCCGCTGATACAAGCAAAGTCAAAACCGGTTTTCTTTAATCATTTCTGTGTTTCTTAATCGATCTTGATGAAATTTTCTACAGTACATCTTATTGTACTGTAGAAAATTCGTGTATTATCAAAAAGTCACTTGCATTTAAATTGTGGGTTATATATGTGGGCAGCATAAATTGGTGTTTTTACTTGATTAGCTGTGAGATATTAGCGGGGAGGTGTTGATAGCTATAAAATGAAAGATACTTGATATATATATACTATTTTAGAAGCTACATATCAAGTTTGGGGATTCTAGCTCTTAATATTTACCAAGGTTGTTAAAAAAGCAGGATTTCGATATCGATATTTATCGATTGCTATCGATATGTTATCGAAACAGAAACAAACTCGATCTGCGCGGGCACTAGGAGGACCTACAGCTAAAGAGAGCTTCTGAGATCCTCTCGTTCATACATACGGACAGACGGACGGTGGGACGAACAGACGGACGTGGCTAGATCGACTCGGTTATTGATGCTGATCAAGAATATATTTACTTAATGTGGTCGGAGAAGCATCCTTCTGGCTGTTACATACATTTGCACAAATACATTATACCATTATATTATTACCCATTTTCAATGGGTTCAGGGTATAAAAAGCGAAACCAGCATGTCACCCTTTCAGGCCCTTCAATACAGAGTACCGTTACTGCCCCAAAAAACGAACTTCCTTTTCACACGAGCGTGATAATGACCTATTTGTAGTGTTAGCTGATTTTTAACTTACCGAACATCTTTTCGTCATTATTCATTGCCGAAATTTATCTAGTACCCTTAGCTCAGCATGACTTTATTGATTGCACGTTTGACCTTTCTTTGTTTCAAATCAATTCAATTTCTTATCTTTGGATAGAACACTTGATATTGTATTTGTATTTTACTGCTAATGTGTCCAGGTCCCCTTATTTATCTCTTCCTGAGGATGTATTTATATCATCCTACTTTAGAGGTTGCAATGTTCAATTGCAATCCTCTCAATTTGAATTCATCAGCTACCTATAAGCGCCGCCGTTGCTTTCGCAAATGAAACTATTCCTTGCTTAATCAACGTATTCATGCTACCGATTGGTCTTTTTTGTATTACTCGGTTTATATTAATATTGTCATTAATTATACTCTGAACCCATTGAAAATGGGTTAACGGGGAATAATGTATTTGTTCAAATGTATGTACCAGGCAGAAGGAAGCAACTCCGACTCTATAAAGAATATATATTCTTGATCAGCATCAACAGCCGAGTCGATCTAGCCATTTACACGGTCCAATGGCAGAGTCTCTGAAGATTAAGTTCTCCATGGTTATTCCAATTGCAGGAGCACTAAAGATTAGGTTGTTCAGTTTGTCTTATTGCTGGATATCTGGAGATTAAGATGGTGGCTTGAAGCTCTGCAATCGGTGGCCTTGTGGTCCAGCAATAAAAGAATATGATATAAAATACGGCAATGCCGGAGTAATGTATTTCAGAAGCAGTGCTCTTATTAGGTGCTAGTGGTGCAGCTTGAGCTGAAGACAATAAATTGAAGCATAACTCTAAATAACACGCTACGAAGTCATGGTCGGCAAGCCGACAAAGCAATAATCATAGGCGATAAGGAAAACTGTTGCGACATAACTATCTGGTTACCGCCGCTGACTGTTGCTGCAAGAGCGCTGAACTCAAATGCGCGGCCATTGACTTATGATTGGCCGTCCTCGGTTTTCCTGAGGCTGTCGATAACGATTTTTAGGAAAGATTGGTGGTTAGCTCTTTCCGTTTCTGGTACATCTTCCAGAGAATAAATCTAATAATTAGGATGAAAATAATGGACGCGCTAAACATTGCAGGTCTTGCTGTCAACTTTCCTTTTAAGTCGCCGATGTATCGCAAGTTTTCGATGTTCAGCCTTTGCAGGTATGGTAGACTCAAAATTTCCTGATGCCCAGTAATATTCAGCAGTGTCGATGTTGCTGAGCCTATGTGTCTTCTGACGATATTTCTCATGTTCCTGAATAGAGACCCATTTAATTCGACCTCGTCGTCGAATGTTAGGTAGGAATGTTTATTATGATCCCGTCGTTCACTTCCTCCAGTGGTTCCTGGTGACTGGTACGAGTGCTCCAATGTGCTGTGCCGCCGAAGTGTAATTGTTGCGTGCATGTCGTGGAGGGTAGCTGCTTGCAAAATGTTGACGTGAGCGTAGCAATGCAGTTTCCAAGTGGCAGTATATTATTACCGCAGTCTGCGACATTATTATTATCAGCGAAATTAAGTTTTGTACCATTGTGTTGAACAGAAAACAAAGTGATTTTTTTACAAAATCGGTAATTTTGATTATATCGGGATATTTGATTATACAATTTAAAAAATTATGATCTAATAAAACATTGGCACATGCTACTACCATTAAATCGGTTTCTGTTTTACTTTTAGGGTGCTCATTAAATATTTTTCCTAAATCTTTAGAGTTAAGAATAGCAGTGTGTATAATTTTAATCTTTGCAAGTAAAACTGACAACATTAATGTCTCGAGTTCTGATTAGAATTCTATCTATAGAGGTGGCCCGTTTTGATATGTTTCTCTTTGGCAACCTTGACGACAATGTTTACTGTTTCGGTTATTTTTATACCCTGAACCCATTGAAAATGGGTAAAAAAGGTATAATGTATTTGTGCAAATGTATGTAACATGCAGAAGGAAGCATCTCCGACTCCATGTAGTATATATATTGTTGATCAGCATCAACAGCCGAGTCGATCTAGCCATGTCCGTCTGTCTGTCCGTATGTATGAACGCAAGGATCTCAGAACCTATAAGAGCTAGAGCTGTAGGTCCTCCTAGTCCCCGCGCAGATCGAGTTTGTTTCCGATATTCGATAACTTGCCCCGTTTCCAAGTAATCGATAAAAATCGATATCGAAATCCTGTTTTTTGAGCAAATTCGGCAAATAATATGATCTAGAGTCACCAAGCTAGACATGTAGCTTCTAGAATAGAATATATGTATATATCAAGTATCTTTCATTTTATTATCATCATTATTGGTGTGGTTGGTGATTAGAGGCGGCGGCAAGTGGTGCTAAAGCAAACGAGCGCGTAGCGCGATCTGCGTTTGGTGTTGGAAGAAGAAGGTGCTGGGTATCATTTAGTCGGGAGCTCCCGACTAGAACCTATTACTTGTTATACCCTGAACCCATTAAAAATGGGTAAATAGGGTATAATGAATTTGTATAAATGTATTTATTCTTCAATATTTTATTCTACAATCAGATGTACTGTCGAAAATTTAATTAAGATCGGTTAAGACGCATAAAAGTTATGTGCGCACGTGCTAGCAGCAGCTAGCGCAAATTCCAAGAATTTCTGTATACATGTACACACACAAATTCATGCGCGTCATCTTTGAATTCTACAGCATTGCAATTGCGATTGTATTGTTTTCTGTGCTGCTATTTTAATTGGTTTTTTTCTCATTAAAACTCAGTTATTGTTGTGGCTCTTGAGTAGAGGCGGCGGCAAGTGGTGCGGTTAGTTGCGAGTTCGAACCAAGGGAACAATTTTTTTTTGTACTGAGGTTTTTTTTACTGAGGTTTTTCAAATCGATGCAAATATTTATATAATTTCTTTAAATTAAATGATTAATTATTTATTATTATTTTTATTTTATTAAAAAATAAAAGAGTGCCAAAAAATACAAATAGGGTAAATTAAATACGTCGGTAGCTAGAAAAAGAAAATTGATAAAATGAATCTTTGGAAATACAAAATTTGCGCTCTTATTTCATTTCTTTTATTTCTTAAAAATAATAAAAATTTAATTAATAAGTTTATTTAAAGAAATTATATAAATATTTGCATTGACTTTAAAAACCTCAGTACACAACATGCATTCATATGTGAATACAAATTTGGAATAGGTCGTGCATGATGAGCGCTAGAGAACAAAATTTATTTCTTCACCAGCCAAAGCCAAGTAAGGCATGCATACAAACGTAGGTGCTTGCACGCCATTGGCTGACCAAGAACTTCTCTCGAGCATACACTGTCCAGAAACAAAAGTGAAATAAATCTGTATGATATTTTCTTAACATGGTTATTGCGCCTTGTAAAAAAATGATTTTGTTCTAAATTTTTCCTGCAAAATTAATAGTGAGTATCTAGGGTAATGTATCATTTAAATAAAGCATGCATTTCATGGATAAAGCAATGTACTTCGAAAACGAAGCGACGCAAAGTACCATCGACCAGCTTTGCTGAAGGCAGGCTGGCGACTAACTTCGTTGCTCGGGTCAGCATCAGCAACCGCGACTTCGGCATTCGTTCGTCTGGCTTTTGGAGAACGAATATCCAGTCGGCAGGCATGTCATGTGAAAACTCAAACGCCAGATGAAACGCCAGGCATGAAATTTGTCGTCGCATGCAAATGTATGGGCGTTACTCATCTTAGTGTTTATATTATCTTTGGTTGAGGGTATCCCCTAGTCGGGAGCTCCCTACTAGAACCTCTTACTTGTTGCAGATGATTTTGTC